CTTCTCTCTTGTTAGGAGCTCCAATAGTGTGGTTAACTCGTTATCCATCAAATAGTTGATTGTAAGAAGTATAGAATGACCACTGTAACACACCAATGCATCATAATTGCAAGATTCTAAGCTGGCTTGCAGTCACTCTTTGAGTAAAAATTGTAAGTAAGATAAAAATTGCATGAAAACACCAGTGACACAACACCAGAATTTGTTTAGCACTTGTTGCCCTGAAGATTGAGGAGATCTGGTTTTCAATTTTTTTCTCTGTTTGTGTAATTGTTGAAACTCCATTAAAACATCACCTTTGACAGAAATATTCACAGTGGATAAACTTGAAAACAAATAATAACTATATTTCAAAAGAGAGTATGGCTTACTACACAACCCCTTACACAACAAGTAAAAATTCAATACTCTCATAGGCATGTTACTGTATGACAAAAATGCCCCAAAAAACTTACTAAGATCACCTGATCTTAGTAAGGTATTTTTTTCCCAAGCATATCCACTGCAATACTAAGCACATTCTTACTATCTACAAAAAAGAACAGCTTTTCAGCAACAAAGCATAAAAATGTCAAGTCTCTTTCCTTAGCCTGTTACCTGTTCTATTCAACATTGCACTACAATGGAAAGTTCCAAGCCAAACTAACTTTTGCTAAATACTTCATAAAAACAGCCTATAACTTTTCAAGCTATACAAACCAAAGAATGACATTATCCATTTAGTCAAACTTGTGCATCCTTTTGTGATAAGCAATCATCAAGAGTGACAATTCAACAATGGCATTATGCTTTACTCCAAGAAGAATTCCATTCCTCCATGTGGAAAATGTGTTAATGTGGAATGGCTGCCATCCATTTGACAAAATCAGTTTAACAAAAATAATTCTACTGCAGCCAAATAAATGAAGATTTCAGCAGTTTGAAGCCTACTTCACTGGTTTCATTGCTGATATTTGACTTATAACTCGTAATAAAGAGCTGTTTTCATCCTTCAAGCGAGCGTTCTCTGTCCGTAGTGTTTCCAGCTCCTGATATGAAATAGAAAGAAGAAAAATTTTAAATTTCCTGCATATAGTACCTAGATATTGGCCTTAGAGTAAGTAACTTTTCTTGTAAAGTTAGCAAGATCGATTTGCTGCACATTTCTGTTTTGTCAAACTTGTTTGTACAATAGGGACTTGTTAGTTCAGTGGGCAGAAGAGCAAAGTATGCTTATTCCAAAGACAGAGTTGCTTGCTAGAGAAGCTAAGTGCACCATATAACTGCACCTGTTACAAGACATGTCCTCTTTGCCTCAAAACTTAACAGAACAGTGACATAACAAAGAGACAAACATAAGTTAATTCTTCAAAAATCATACTTCTGCAAGAAAAGAGATGTACTGCCCACCGTTTTCCATAAAGCTTGTAAGATGAAAGGCAACCCCTCTACATTTCTACTGTGGTTCTCATAATGTAATGTCATAAGAACTTCTCACCTTGTTTGCTTTATCAAGCTCAGATTTGTAGTCTTCTAACTGACTTTCATAATCCTCTATCTTTTCAAGCAGTTTTTGCGTTTGGATGGTTTCACTATCCTTTTGCTACAAATAAAATAATTCCTGAATCACTTACAAGATGGTATTTGACCAAATATTACACAACCTGAATAATATCAGGATTAATAAGCACTGTACAACCACATTTACATATCTACAATCATTTGCTGAAAGGTCTAAACATTTGCAGGAAACAGGCCACTTAATCAACACAGGGTGATTATTTCTTTTTTGAGAAACAGCAAAATATGCAAAAAAAAAGTTTTGATGTTTATTTAAATAGGATCATGAAGACTGGGAAACAGACTTGTTGTCTGTCTATCCTTCCTGACAAGAACAACTGCCAAGGAATTGTTGCAAAAGTTTAACATGAGTGCATCATCATTTGAAAGGAAATGTGCACTCATGCAGACATAATAGTTGAGAGACTGAGACAAAGACCACTGAGGGGGCTAACTCACTACCTGTTACATCAGAATAGGGGCACTTTCTAATGAAGACAAATTTGCAGGAGGGGTAAGGGGTGCTAAATCCTACCATCATGATAGCCAACTTAGAATTGTAATCATGATTATAATTTTAAGCTTTCACACAGACATGAATAAATTTATACTTACAACTTTTTGCTCTATTCTTTTGTTTGATCTACAAAAGAAATAGTTCTAGTTATAATCTGTTATCCTTGTAAGTAAACATGATTTTTTTTTCCATTAGTGTAATTTGATGAAAAAAAGTTTTAAACATTGAAGTTGGGTTAAATTGTTAATTTTACTTGGGGTGTTAACTACACGGAACCCAAATCAACTCATGTCATCCAATATCAAGCACAGTAAAAATACTGTTGACTTAGACTGTCTCTGCTACTCTGCCGAAGCATCACCCAGCATTCTGATCAAATCATCAGTAATTATTGTGCCATTAAATGCCTCACACTGTATGTAAATATGTATTTAATATAGCACTAGAATCTACAAAAGCAGAAAGCTAAAACACACTAATCCTTTAAAAATAAAATGACCAGTTTCAGATACACACCATTTTAAAACACTGATGCCAAATTTGAGAGATGCAAAATGGTAAAAAAATTTAGCTTACCCTTTACTTTTGGGAGAATCCTACGGTGGGAAAAGAGAGGACTTGTTATTAAATTTGGTGAATAATACAATATATTCAACATTTACAGATAAGCTAAATTATTAGGATATTGTTCAAACCTAACCAGACTTTTTACATTCAACTGAGTTCAGTAACCCAAAGCAGAACTCCTGAAAACCAACATGGATATTCAACACATTTTTTAATAAGTAAAGAAATGCATTCCATCACTGAGCAATGCAACAACTCTCATCACAATATATCACATGTACCAACCAAACTGAACAACTGCGTGCCTCAACAAACTGATTTAAATATCACTCGTGCACTGCACCTAATTCATAAGTTAGAACAGACCTGTCTACTGAAAATCTTCTGCAATATTGTTTTACAAAAAACTCTTATTTGTTTTGCTTAGCTTTCTAAATATAGCACAGAAGTAAAAGCCACTGTTTTACTACCGGCAAAACTTCCCTTGTCTATGATTTATAAGGAACTGCCTAATATTGGATGATAAATAACACAGCCTGATTGAATCCTCCCTTTCTCTGTGCAATACACTAATAAAAAATTTAGATGGTAGAAAACCATTTTAAGCTGAAATTCTGGCAAGAAGAGTAGGTACTTAAGTACGTTTCTAGCGAGAAAAAAAAATAACAACAAACTGTCTTATGCCAAGGAAAGATACAAACTACTGCATTTACAAGAATGATCTAATGGCTTGAAAAATTAATGACATAACAACAGAACAATAGAAAGAGCCCAAAGATTTTTCATTTATTCAGTCTAGCAGCTTTTACTTTGTTAGTTTTTGGTCGTAGATGTTCATTTTTGTGACTTAATATCATTTAGCTCCTTTAGCAGTACCTTGATCTGCTTAAATAATCTTAAATCTATTACTGACTTCAATTTTATGCTTTCTTTTGATGCACCCACTCAAGTATAATGGAATTTCTCTTGACAAAATACTATGAGACATAATTCTGTGTACGTAATCTTTTTATCTAAGAATGGAAGTGCTTCTAAAATATGTAATCAATGCATCCACTGCCCTGATACTGCATAAACTGGAACAAATATTACACATATAATCGTATGATTATTGTTACAGTTTTCCAAATAAGGACATAAATTACCTTGGAGATCTCCTCTGAGAAAAGAAGAGTAAAGTTTTTGAAAATTTTGGAGTTGGTAAGAAATCAACAAGATGATTGAAATAACAGATTTGCAGTTCAAGGAAAATGGACCAAATTTATCACAAAGCAAACTAGCGTAAGCAAGAAACATCTTCAAGAGAAAGTAGCACTTTCAGTAATAACAAGTTAGCAAACATAGCGAGTAACAGTTCACCTTTGCATACATGTTTAAGCATAGACACAAATCTACTACCACTCTTTCAACAACATCAAAGGAACAACAGATAAACTTCATAATACAGAAAATGGATGATCAACACTGAACAAAATCATTAGATTACCATTTCACTTCTGCTAAAAAACAAAAAGACTTCTTCAACTCAAAGAAAGCCTACAGTCCACTGAAGTCAGGCATATGTAACACAGACAACACCAAAACCTCACCATTCATGCTTAAGGGCCAAGAACCAACTGACAGCTCTTATTAGTAAGAGATATTTGATATTTTACTTTGACGGTCTCTTTAAATTCTCAAAAGCAACAGCAAAATAACCTTGTTATCTTTCACTCTCACTTGGTTGCTATCAAGTTTCCAGCAGATGCAATTCAACCTCTGCATACTATGTAATCAACCATTAGAATCATTTTACAAGCAAAGAGCTCTGTGTTAGTGGTTGCGAATAATTTATTTAAACCAATATCCTCGAATGCGAACATTTTAAATTACTGTAAAACAAGCCTTTGTTGTCTAAAATAACTCTTGTGAAAAGCAGCCTTATCATTTAAAGAGAGTTTCAAGGGCTTTTAAAATGTCCAGATTTAGGTATACTAAGCATTTCACTGCAGACATTTCAAAATTTGATCCCCGTGAAGTTTACACAGATTTGACAGGAGGATTTAAAGTAACATTCCTAGCTTTTTAACCAACTTTTCTGTATAAACAAGGCAAGTACTTGAAAACCTCAAAGATACACATGACAGTATATGCCACCATGTCTGAAACACTGCATAAAAACACAAACGGATTTTCGCCACAACGTTCGAACAGCACAAACGAACATACACGTAAGCTTACCTCTATTGCTTCATCGTCGTTGGCTTGCTCGTTCTGTTGCGTATTTGCTTTTACTTGCTTCGTATCATCGTCGCCTTCGCTCTGAATGTGCAAATAAAATATATCAAGACTACAGCAAGTTACCTGGCTAGAGACGCAACGAAATATATACGAAGGAAGTCCATAAACAGTATTACATTTGAACGCTTAGTAAGTTGTATCGAAACTGGACATCTATAAGATCAATGTACTAATCTCATTGAGTTAAATAAAGAGAGAGGAAGCGAGACAAAGTTTCTGACATACTATAATTTGTCCATAGTAATCGGCTACATTAAAAAATATAATTGTGATGAAACGTTCGCGTTATTCTCGGAAACGTACATGAATTAAACAGACTAAAATTCGACATGTGTTCACAAACGAAAATCGTGCTCAGACAGGGTGAGACACCATGAGACACTCATCATTGCTATGAAACGACTAAAGTCCAGTTATAATCACTGACTTTTTTATGGCAATTACATTTTAATCAAAGCCTGATGTAAGTGGCATTTCTTATGCAAAACACATAGAGATCCGTTCACTAAAATTAAGTAATATCATTTACAACATTCAACTACGCTTTCGCATTGGAAGATTAACTTGTCATACTTAAAGCTTGAAATTTTTTAAAAGGCTCTACCTTGACTGAAATGACAAGGAAAAATTACGAAATTAGCATCAAGTCTACAGTTCCCAAAAAATACTGTTTACAAACGTCCATCGATGCACCCTGTGTAAAACTTTATCACTAGAGTTCTTCTCTGTCACGATGGTAATAAACGAAATGAAGGCGAAATTTGCGTAAACATCTGTTATATTGCCTTGCGCTTATTAATTTCCACTTTTCTTGAAAAAGCACTAGAGCTGGATTGATTTTAATTTATTGTTTAGATTTGCCGATGGCGAATCGCAAATACAATTATACATTTTTTATCACATTCGCAGTACAAGAATGCCAATTTACAGTAGCCATGAACTCCAAAGTACGAGAGATTTTTACGCTTTTATCATCATGACGAACTTCGGATATCCAGACAGACTAAAGCGCTTCTTATCGTACATGATTTTACCATCGACAGAAGAAATATAACTGTGAAAGGAAGCCAGCAAAATTCGAAATAAATGAACACCTAGCTCTAAGGTTTATTGTTCGCGATGCCAAAACCCCACACCACGAGAACTACTCGATAAACAGCCCCGACAGTTCGATTTAAGTATTCTTTTGGACTTTAAAAGCCTGAAATATGTATCAAGAGTGAAAGAAACGTGAAACTCGCTTGATACTTACATCTGCATCGGCTCCACCAGGCATCATAACAACTCCGGTTGACCTTCTTTTTTCCCTCAAATGTCTCTTGGCTTGTCTCTTATGCCCTGCACTTTCGCTCTTTCTGTCTTTTTTGAGGCTCTTCTTCGGCGTTGTTTCCTCACTGGCTGCTGTTGCACCTTCAACAGGCGCCTCGTCGTTCACACTGACATTAGCTTCTTCATCTCTGGGTTTCCGCCTTTCTCGTCTCTCCCTATCTCGTCTCCCCGTATCTCGATCGGCACTACTATTAGCAAGGTCATTGGCAACCCCGTTGTCTTCTAAACCTGGACTCTTGTTTTCCTTCGAAGGCGATGTACTTCCATCTATGACATCACCATAACGATTACCCCTTCGTTCTCGTCGATCAGTTCTATCCTTTTTGTATTTGGACCTGTGTGTTTCAGCGGCATAACTTTCGTCCGACACGTCCGCCATTACTATGACAAGGGAAGCGTTGCAAGCGATAGCTCAACTTCCTGCGATAGTTGTTTGGCGAAGAAACAGCTTCTAGATGCCAGTTATGTCATTAGTCACCGCAAAAATACCTCAAGTATACGCTGCAGACTTTCCGAGTTCAACTTAGCGAAGTTGTGTGGAGGAATTTGGGTTACAATGGGGCAAGAAATTCTTGAAAACAACCCAACCAGGCAGCCAACGTGCATGAACATTACCCAGAATTTGTGAGTCGGGCTACAGGACATGCGCACAACGATTGGAGCCAAATTCCTCCCGCGGGCGGTGATTGGCTGATCGCGGAGACAATATAACCTAACCAACTGACACACCAAACATGTAATTGGACACCGAATTGAAATAAAATCCCACCATTAAACACATTAAATCGGTATGTGCGTCAATCAAAATGCATGCCTTCCAGAGATTCTCAAATCGTTTATACATTCTGCACGTAGCGTGACTGCAGAGAGGGAAAGTGAGTCGACAAGGGCAATCAGACAACTTTCCAAGTCATTTCAAGCGAAGTTTTCATGGTTTGTGCCCTCATCCGAAGTCAACGAAGCATGTCGAGTGAGCTGGGATGGTCATAATTGAATTTCGTCCTCTTTGTTTACTTAGCACATAAAATTAAACTGACATTGTCCTGCTTCCATTGTTTTTGTGCATCTTCCATTTACACTTGAAAAAATCATCTTTCAAGTAAAAGACCTTTATTGAGAACGTTTTAAGCAGATCTTACGTGGGCTAGCTCAACCGCACTGATACCAAGAGATCTAAGCTTAGGAAGTACTTTGTAGGAGGGTGTTTTTACACCTCCTACGTAGTGAAAGGTGGGATGCAGGGATGGCGAGATGAAGACAAACAACAGGCAAATAGGACTTGAAACCTAGACGATAATGCCAGTCAAATGGCAAGAAATAAAAGCTATCGCCTTTTAGAGATCGTTAAATCACTCGACAACCCATATTTTTGAGGTACTGGATTAGATGACCTATCACGACAGTGAGAGAAAAATTAAAAGTCACAATGCAAGCGCCCCCCCCCCCCCCCCCCCC